TTCAGATGCAAATCAAAGTCAGGCACGGAGATCTTGGGGGCTTTAATGTTCATCTCAGGCATCTTGAACTTAGGCCCTTTCAACTTTCCTTCTGGTCCTTCAATATTAACATCAGGGCCTTCAATGTCCATCTTGGGTCCTGAGACATCAATGTCAGCCTTGGGCACATTCACATCCAGTTCAGGGCCCTCACCTTTGAAGCCAGGCATCCCGAACTTGGGCATTTTCATCTTGGGCATCTTCAGGTGCCAATCTGGGGCTTGAACATCTACATCGGGAACATCAATGTCCACTTTGGGCCCCTTGAGGTCAACTTCAGGGCCTTTCAGATCTCCCTCTACCTTGGGACCTGTAATATTCACATCTCCTTTTACTTTTGGACCAGTTAGATTAAGGTCAATATCTGGCATGGATATCTTGGGAGTCTTAAAATGCATTTCAGGCATCTTAAACTTTGGGCTTTTCCACTTTCCTTCAGGTCCTTCAATATTGACATCAGGACACTCAACATCCACTTTGGGTCCTGAGACATCAATGTCAGCCTTCGGCAGGTTCATGTCCACATCTGGGCCCTCTCCTTTGAAGCCAGGCATGCTGAACTTTGGCATTTTTATCTTAGGCATCTTCAGGTGCCACTCCGGGCCTTGAACATCAACATCTGGGGCATCGATGTCCACTTTGGGGCCCTTAACGTCCACTTCAGGGCCCTTGAGGTCACCTTCCACTTTGGGCAGAGAAACATCCACATCACCCTTTACTTTAGGACCTTTCAAGTGTAAATCGAACTCTGGCATGGAGACCTTGGGGGCTTTGATGTTCATCTCAGGCATCTTGAACTTAGGCCCTTTCAACTTTCCCTCTGGTCCTTCAATGTTAACATCGGGTCCTTCAATGTCCACTTTGGGTACTGAGACATCAATGTCAGCCTTGGGCACATTCACATCCACTTCTGGGCCCTCACCTTTGAAGCCAGGCATACTGAACTTGGGCATTTTCATCTTGGGCATCTTCAAGTGCCAATCTGGGCCTTGCACATCGACATCTGGGGCACTGATGTCCACTTTGGGGCCTTTGATGTCAACTTCAGGGCCCTTAAGGTCACTTTTCACTTTGGGTAGAGAAACATCCACATCACCCTTCACCTTAGGACCTTTCAGATGCAAATCAAAGTCAGGCACGGAGATCTTGGGGGCTTTAATGTTCATCTCAGGCATCTTGAACTTAGGCCCTTTCAACTTTCC